ATACTAAACCTATAAATGTAGGCTCATAGATCTATTTCCCCATCCTCATATAATATATTTGTATATGTACATGTCTTTATCTAGAGCTCTATAAATGACGTATGGAACTGACACACAAAGGAATTCTACTTAGAAAGAGAACTAAAGTCTTGATGCCTTCTGTCGTGCAAATGGAGCTTGAAGACATTATACTAAGTGGAATAAGTCAGTCACAAAAGGACAACTACTGTATGGCCTCATTTATATAAAAAGACTAGAACAGGAAAATATACAGAGACCAAGTTTATTGGTCTTTACCAGGGGTAGAAGGTGGGGAAAATGGAAGGTTATTGCTTATGGAAAGTACAGTATATGAAGTAGTTTGGGTTTATAGTGATGGAAGGATTGCATCGATTAACGGAACGGTTTCATGGTGATTAATGTAGTAGCTGGTAATAAGTTGTACACGTATAAAACATTGAATCAGTGAAACTTAGGGAATAGACATATCTACAAAAGTAAAAAAGCTGAAGCTAAACAAGCAACCATCTAGCTGAGAAGCAACAAAGCCCACATGGAAGTCGCACACCAGCCTGTCTGACCACAAGGTGCAGAAGGGACCAGTTATCAGATATCAAAGAACTTAAAATCAGATCAGTTGGTGCCCACCTTCCTGATACGATCACTGAAGACAAACATGTGCATAAGCAAAGATGGTGAAGAAAGCTGATGTGTCCGGCTATCAAAAGATATAGCGTCTGGAATCTTAAAGGCTTGAAGATAAACAAGCAGCCATCTAGCTCAGAAGCATCAAAGCCCACATGGAAGAAGCACAACAGCATGTGTGACCACGAGCTGTCGAAGGGATCAGGTATCAAGCATCAAAGAACCAAAAAACATATCATTGTAAAGGTGGGTGAGTGCAGAGTGGAGACTCAAAGCCCATCGATAGGCAAGTGAGCACCCCCTTACTGAAGGGTTGTGGGGAGGAGATGAGCCAATCAGGGTGCAGGGTAGCAACGATGAAACATATAACTTTTCTCTGTTCTTACATGCTTCCTCCCCACTCCCCCACCCCCGCCACTATCATGATCCCAATTCTACCTTGCAAGTCTGGCTAGACCAGAGGATGTACA